GAGAGAGAGAGGGAGAGACTGTGTGTGTGTTCTTGAGTGAACTGGCTTTGATGAGCTTATATAAGCATGAACACACAAAGTGATTGAGCTTGCACTTAGAAAAAAGCCTGATCTCAATTTAGATGGAAAAACTTGATAATGAATTCTAAACTTCAATGAGGTTAAGAAGAAGAAAAAAAAGGAAAAAATCCTCCATTTTTCTGCTATAATCCCCTGAAGATGTGTGCTTTTTTCCTCCTTTTATGACAATTATTTCCATGATTCCCACAAAATCTTCCACAGTTTTGTCTTCTTGAGGAAAATAAGATTAATGTTCTTACCATGAAACTACCTGTTCTTCGTTCTATAGTAAGCTTGACCTACCTACACTGGCTCATTACTGCTCTTCATTCTACCTGTACAAGGTACAACATCATTCACTCCATCACTGCTGCATCTCACGCATTCTTATCTGGTTCTGCGTTTTATTCCTGGAATCTTACACTTCCAGTAAGAAATTATTCAGAGCATAGAACTCATCTGTCTAAATTCAATTCAATGATGCTCTTTGGACCATTAAACAGACAAAACCCCAGAAGAAAACACCCCAAAATCAAGCTGGCAACATTTAACTTCTTGCTGCAATGCTGTAATAGATGAACAGTGGTTATTCTCCATGATTCACGGCCCGGTTTCACGTGAACGCTACCTTCCAGCAGAGCAAAAGCCAAGGAGAAACCTAAGAACACAGATTGCGAGAGCTGCTGGTACTGCTTTTAATCACCAGCAGCAGTTGTTCTGCAGTAAATCTCGCTGGTTTCTTCTAGCACAGGGAAGAAGTGGCTGAGACAATCGCAGCAGTCTCTCTGCATTACGATTTCTCACCTATGCGGAAGAAGAACTCAACGGCGACAAGTAAAAGAAAGCAGGCGGCCTTTCTTCTCCATTATCTCAGAGCTAACTCTGGTCCACAAACCACAGAATCGGATGCTTCTTCTTTCTCTTGCCTTTGTGCCACATTGCGACAGACGAGGAGTCCCCATCCTTATATTCTTGTCTCGAATGATTCATCAAAGCAGGGTTGCTTCCATGCATGGAGTACGCAGCTCCTCTCCATCTGTGCTAACCATATGTAATGAAGTCAACAAGCTAACAGGTTTACTCCACTCGGAAGAAGACTGCCATAAGCTAACACCAAATTCTAATTTATGGATTTCAGTAACCTTTCTGTTTTCTGTTCTTTCTTGGAACAGATTGTTTTGATTGTGGTATAACCTTCATCATTAATCACTCTCAGGACATGAAATCTCAGAGCAGCCAGCCATACAAGCCATAAAAGCACCTCAGAAGAACTCATTCAACTTGGAGTTTGTAACAGTTTGAAGGTGGGATGGTATTGTCTCCTTGTACAGGTTAAAGACTCCAAAATGGTGATGAATGATAGATATTTCAGGAATCCTCTGCTGATTAAAGTTCATGATAACTAAATATTCCTGCACAGTGGCATCCACTCTGCACTGATAATGGAATTAGCAGGCCATACTTTATTCCTCAAGAATAACAAGATTCTAATCGGTGCCAATCCAAACAAGTAGAGTTCAAACAGTTGTGTGCAATGGAAGTGTTACTGTACAACTCCTGCAGTAGCTTCTTTAAATACATGGTGGATGCTTAATGTAACTGTACAGTAAACTTGAGGTAGCAGCATACATTGATATCACAGATTAAGAACGTTAAGAGCATCGAGAGTAGACTTGAGATGCTTTTGCAGCTCCAAGAATGATGACTATAGTTTAGCTAAAACTCTTTTGACAGAATTGCAGCAGCAACATCAGACAAAAATGGTGTAAACGCATCAATCAAAAGGGCTCTATGCATGTTCCAACTTTACCTCTTGCGAACAGCAGTTGTAGAGCAAAAATGATCGTCGACATAAATTGCCGCCGCCTGATATGCTGTGATGATTCAGGAAAAACACCATCTGCTTACCTCTGTAACTAATACTTCTCGAACCCACAAATCCCATAAGGAAAAGAATAAAGCCTTTTGAAGGGACAGTTACATTGACTCCATAATCTCAAGGAACTTCTTGTAGGTCAAATTTCTCGAGGATTGCTGTTGTTTCTAGCCTTGCGCTGCAATCGATTATATTTCAATCAATAAGCTGCTAACATGAAAAGGATAAAGAGAATGCAAAGAACTACAAACAACAGCTTTGAAATATAAGAGCCACCAACTGGCCATACTCACTAGGGGCTGTTCAATTCCAATTGATTTTTTCATTGATTCTGGTTCAGTCTGACCAATTAGCCTAAAAACAGGGGTTTCAATATCAGGTTCAGCCAATCTCAATCTCACTTTAACCACTGATCCTAGTAAACCTTGGTAAACACTCGCCTTTATTTCTCTACATATATACACACATGTCTGTATATACAACATACATATAACAATAAACAGTAATTGATTGACAACAGCAACAGCAATCGCTAGAGGACTTGTCTGCTGACATCCTCTAATCTCATAAACTTCTTTAACTGCTTCTGCAGAGCTGACAAAATGCACTTTTAAAGTTCAAAGGAATATTCTAGCACAACATCTTAAAGCCTACAATATATCCGAAAAAAATGAACAATAACATTTGGCTAAAAAATTTCCAATCAAGTGATTAAAATATACGTGAAACAGCAACAAGGAAAATCTGAATTGTAACTTGACTATAATTGGAATGTGATAAGATGGTGATTTTTATTTGATGGATCTGTTACGTTGAGAAAGAGGTAAAAAAAAAAAAGTAGAATATTTCAGTTTTTATAAAAAACACTAGACATGGATGAAACTGCTACCGCACACAACTTCCAGAAACACAAAACTGTTTATTAAGAAGGCTAGTGTTCATGAAATCATCTGAAAAAGTGGATCTCATTAGTTTATTTACTAACCACCCATACTTCGCATAGAAGCTATCTACAACTCGGGAATTCTCAAACCTAACAAAGTTGCAAATTCACCTGTTATTTCTTAATTAAAAAAAAATCGTTATTGGTGGGTTTAAGAAGATGTTTGTCCCTCCAAATTGATGGTTATACTCACCACACAAACTCAACCATCATTCTCAAAAATCAAATGGGTGCATCATTTCTTACATCAATGCCAAACACTTGCATATACTGTTTTGTAACAACGATATACTATTGCCATTTTCCGAGCTATTTTCGGTAACAGGCTGCTTGGACATTGCTCGAGGAATCATACATTACTATGAAAAATGAATTTGTCTTTCATTAAATTCATCATTTTTCTTTAACCGAACAATTTCCTAAACTAATCTTTTCTTTTTTGAACTGGCAATTTCCTTTGTTTTCACATTTTCCCTCTTCTCTGCTTATTTGTCGCAATAGCTTATGAATACCAATTGTGGTACTATTTATTAGTTTAACATGCATTTCTGATTCATTCCCTCGTCTCGCCAAGAGCAACCTTTTGGAACCTTGTATGATATTACAAAAAATGAAATGTAAAGCTTTAACAAACTCTGTATCGTCAGTTTGAGTTCTAATTTGGCATTCAACAAGAAGCAAATTGAACACTGCAATGTCAATGCCCAAAAATAAAGACCACGGCTTAAAAGGAAAAACACCAACCTGCTTACCAAGCATCACATGCAAATCCATAGAGTAGTGGTTGGCACTGCTATAACTTGCTCAGCTTTGGTTGTCTCGATTGCTTCTTCCATGTGATCATCTATTGTTGCAAGGACCACAGTCTTAGGGCCTCAGATCCTGCAATGTGAGGAAGGATCTCACAATCGTCCAGGCTTTGTGAAACTCCTCTCATGAGACAGTAAAGGAAAGCTTCTAACCTGAACACACCTGAAACATCAGATAGGCTGATAGCACAAAGTAGTCACTGTGAAACTCCAATTGCCAAAACTACATGACGAAAATGAAAAAAAAATGTCATTGGTTGAGCTTTCAAAGATTACAAGGAAACAAAAGAAACAAAAGAAGAAGAAGAAGAAGCAGAAAGAAATCAATCGCAAGATGAGAATGCTCAAGATGACAACTTTGTAAATGAACAAAAGGAACAGCCTAAATGTAAAGGTTTCAACTCCTGAAGAGAATGACATTAATTCCAGCTACGGCTTGAGTTCCAAGACTGGCAAACCTGTTCGGAAGGCGTTCGAAGGCCGAGAAGAGGGAAAGAGGCAATCTTTCTATCGTCTTCGCCCAAGAAATCATCAGCTCTTCTCTCTATCTTCAATCTCAATGGTAAGCGTTCCCTTGGTTTTCAAACTCCTTTAATCCAAGGAAAGCACAAGATCCGGCCACCCATCTGGCGTCGAGGGAAGGTAGGGCTGGTGATAGAAGCTTCTCTTCTTGAAGGGAGGTGACACACTGCGGTGATCCGACCGCCCGTTTCGCTGGCCTAAGTCAGCACATAAACCCCAAAGCCAGCGAGAGGGGAGAGGAGACGGTGCGAGACGATAAGAAATGAGGGTCGAGGAGCTCCAAACCCAGAACCGAGAACCAGAGCCGCCTACGGTGAAATCGAAGTGGTCGGCCTCGTTGCTCTTTCTTTGTGGCAGAAATTTCAAGTTCTAGGATTGTGCTGCCAACTCCTGCGTTCGTACCATTGAGGACTCGAGCGGGTCGGATTCGGTTTCGATCCGACGCGGCGTTACGATAGGGGCTCGACCCAACCCATCGGACGTCGAGCGGTCTATGGTCCCAAACACTCGACTGACTCCCGGCGACCGGTGAAGGGTTTAGGGTTTCGTTCTTGCCGGCCTAACTCTTCCGAGCCGGCTTCTTGATGGCGGAACTGATCGCAAGGTCTCTGGGGGACGGATGCTTGGAAGGAGAGCACGCGCCCGCTCTGCTCATCGAAGACTCCTTCGCTAGCCTTCATGTCTTCGACCACTTCGTCACCAATCTCGCGTCCCAAATTGCCCTTGGAAAGTCTCATGCACTGTTGGTGCAAGTCCTCCATATAAAAAGCAAGAAGACAGTTGAGATCGTTTGGACTTTTACATGATTGCTCACTGATTAGTGGTACTTTTGTGGCAGCGGTTTGCTGGTCGTTGCGTTGAATCGAAGCCGTCCTCCTACTTCGATTTGCTGAAACGCAAGGGAATGGATGCATCGGTGGTGGATAAATTGTAAGTGTTCTTGGTACTCGAAGTGGAAAGGCCTGCCTTTTAATGTTGCTAGTTGGCGTGATATTGGGAACTTCGCTTCGTATCGGAATTGTAGGAAAGACTGCGTTCCACCATTGGAGACTGCTCTAAATTCCTCTATTTAGGAAAATAACGCTTTTGTCAGAGATGTGAGGAACTGATGCTTCTTAGTTTCTTTTCTTAGCTGCTCGGATTGTGATGAGGTCCATATATTCATACAAGAGGTCTCCTTTGTCAGGTCTTGGTGGGCAAGGCAAGAATCGATTTGCAGTCGCAATTGACCTGGTATGTTCAGAATGTTGTAACATATTCTTGACTAGACATAACTAGTGCAAATGAAGGATATAGATCTGAATGTCACCAAATTTCTTTTTGAAATAATCATTGTTCTACGTTTTTAGTACCCGCTTCACGCGGCCGTGACATCTGATTTGGCAGGAACCACATGGATATAGTCTTGAAGCATATCATTTCATGTAATCTTTCCCGGTTAGTAGTTTGCTGTGGCACACCTTGTGACCATCAGTTGCAGGCCTACTTGATAACCTTCGTTCCAATGGTATTCTCAATTTTTAGTTCTTAACTCAAATGATTTTGAGGATTTAAATGCAGATTGAAGTTGTTGACATTTCGGCTTTTTTGTCAAATTAAGCTGCTAATTTTAAGTTGCAGATTTTGACCTTTGTCGTGATTTCAGTTGATAAAAAGAAGATAGTACATGAAGTCTGAATGATGAAGCAATTTTCTGTGCATGCTCAATTGTGATGGATAATGTTTTCTCTCTTTCTTCTAATCCTCAATATACAAGTAGTATAAACCAATGACATTCCTTTAGAATTAAGCTGCTATTTTAAAGTTTTATTATGCAGTAAAATGACAAAATAAGACAGGACTACAGTTTTCTGTCTTTTTATTCAAATAACTGCAGCAGATTCTAAATAATCCTGGGTAGATCAATAAGGTTTAATCTTGTCTTGTTCTATTGAGTATTCTTGAAGTTGGACTTTATAGTTGCAGGTTAATATGATGCATCAGGCAAACACTCATGAGCGCATTCTAGTGTAATTCCACCTCATAATCAATTTGGAAACCCTACAGAGACTGATGTTGTATATTCTAGTATATTTATTGTCCTATGATTTTACATGCATTGCCAAATTCATTAAAGTTCTATTTTCTTTGTACATACACATGGATTCTGATAATATAAAATTTCCAGGCTTCCACATCCCATGGTTCTGATTCTTGTTTGTATATTTTTGTGTTTCCCTGTAGGCACATTTTTTAAAAATAGTATTCAATGAAATTATTGATGGGCAGAGATGTCTGCAACATGTTATATTTTCAATGAATTGGGCAACCTTACGACCACTTCTGATTTTCAACAAAAGTTGGTGAAGTGGCGATGGATTTATCACTTTCAAATTCTGGGTGTTCTGATTGTGATGTGTCCAAATCATACTTTAGAATGTTGTGCTAAATAGTCTCTTGCCATTGTTGAACAATATGATTACCTCCAAATTTCTGTGTATATCTATTTGATAAAAAACAGATAATTAAGTGTGGGCAAGGTTTCTGTGTTTGATTCATGAACATCTTATTTGCTTCCATTTTCAGATCAAATTTCATGTATCTTTTGGTTCATACACTCAGACCTTCATGAACCCAGGTTCATGCATGTGTCTACTATGGTTGCTAGTGTACAGCCAATAACACAGTGCACCAATCAACAAACAAGTCCAGCAAACTTGCTATGGCTTCGGGAAGAATTCTCATAAAGCAAAATTTCATGTACGCCTTAAATGTCACAATGGACTGGTGAAGCTACTTGTAAGTTCTCTGTTGTGTTTTGGTAAATGTTCATGTTAAGAAACAAAGAGAAACATTCTGAATGTGGCATTGGTATTAGGCAGAAGAGCTATTCTTGGATCAAGTTGCCATTAAATTTGCAAATGTAACCTCTGACAATACATGTGTCAACAAGAGCCTTTTGCCAAAGGTCAGAGCCAATGCATTTTCTTGTCATATCTTTTGTATCTAGGAGCCTGCAGGCCCACTTCCTCCTCACTCTAAATCAGAAATGCTACAAGCTTAAGTGAGTGATTTGGTCAAAAGTTCAATCCTCTTTATATTTTCAGTGGTCAAAAGTTGTTCTTCCATATGAACATCAAGGTACAGATCTATATCTGAGCTTATTATTCCAAAGTTGTTTATGAATTATGATATGATCTTTATATTTTAGTGGCCTTACTGTTCTTGTTATTGCTAACCTAGTTTATTGGATTTCCTTGTGATGAAAATTACGTCAGTTACTGCATACTGCATTATCTGATAATTATTTCTGCAAGTTATGGAGTTATGTTCATAAGATGTTGAAAGTTTTGGTGTCTTATCTTGCGGACATGACACCTCCATTACGTAGCTAATTCATTTATGTTCGAGTTTAAATTGTTACGATAAGCTAGGTCATTGGTTTGACACTATTAGACTAGGATTTTAGTATGTCTACTAGAAGTATGTTCATTGACTTGGACAGTACTACTCTCTGTAGCCAACTTACTCTTGACAATTAATTTCTTAGAACACCTGATGCTTGGGGACACAACAAAAAACTGCCCCTTGTTTGATCGAAGAAAAAATTTTATTATGCTTCATTTATGTGTTCTTGATGACACAAGTTTTGTGTAACTAACATTTTAGCATGTCTACTAGAAGTATGTTCATTGACTTGGACAGTACTACTCTCTCTAGCCAACTTACTCTTGACAATTAATTTCTTAGAACACCTGATGCTTGGGGACACAACAAAAAACTGCCCCTTGTTTGATCGAAGAAAAAAATTTATTATGCTTCATTTATGTGTTCTTGATGACACAAGTTTTGTGTAACTAACATTTTAGCATGTCTACTAGAAGTATGTTCATTGACTTGGACAGTACTACTCTCTCTAGCCAACTTACTCTTGACAATTAATTTCTTAGAACACCTGATGCTTGGGGACACAACAAAAAACTGCCCTTGTTTGATTGAAGAAAAAAAAAAATATTATGCTTCATTTATGTGTTCTTGATGACACAAGTTTTGTGTAACTAAAATATTGCTTCTGGGTCATACTAGTTTGTCTTGTAGTGTAGGTTTCATATATTAGTTCTATGAGCAAAAAGTACAAACACAATATTTTATGCATGTGTTCATGGACTGTTGTTCATGCTTTTTCTGTTTTGATATCAAAAGGAACAAGTCAATAATTCTAATAATGTATATAATCATATCTCATTTTAAGTTGTTCATGGGAGTTATGTTAATCAACAATTGAACATAATGCTCACTAATAAGCTACCTATTTTCAACATATAGATATGGTAGTTTGGTGATGATTACTCCCCCATTCCATAATGGTTTTGCTTTTACATAACATCCTTTAACCATTGTTTAATTATTTTTTTTTTATCACATCATAATTATTAACTTGGGTTACGAAGATAATTGTTAGAAACTAAAGGTTTTAGATTAAATAGGACTAAGAGATGTAATTTTAGTAATACCAGGAATAAGCATGAGAATATAGTTAAATTAGATGAATAATAATTTTCTTTAAGTAAAAATTTTAGGTATCTTAGTTCAATTATTTAACAAGATGGTGATATTGATGAAGATATTGTTCATAGAGTAAAAACAGGATGGTTAAAATGACGAGGGGCATCCAGAGTTTTGTATGATCATTGGAATACCTTTGAGATTGAAAATTTTATAAGATAATTGTTAAACTAGTAATGCTTTATGGATTTGAGTGTTGGATAATTAAGAAATAATATATACAAAAAGTTTATGATGTTAAGATGAATGTATAGAGTTGTTAAGAAAGATAAAAATAATAATAATTTTTTTATTCGTGAACAATCAAGTATCATTCCAATAGAGGATAAGATGAGAAAGATTCGTTTAAGACGTGTGCTTAGGAGAAAGATGACAGTTAAAATAGTTGAAATGACTAATGTCAATGATACGAGAAGAGATAGATGAAGATGTAAAAACATTTTAATAAAAATTATAAATAAAGATATTATAATATTCTAAACTTAACTAAGCATATGTTTTTTTATAAATTTTAATGACGATACAATATTTATGACGGGTGGTGATCCCAAAAGGGTTTCCATGTGCTACATTATATTCATGATTCAGACAATCATATTAGTGTTCTGGAAAGGATGAAATACATTATATCGATGAGCAACCCGACCAGATGATGATTTGGGTATTTAAGGTGACCAGCTTGGGTATTGTCTCATGCTCCTGTTCTCCTTCATCTTGATCCGATCATAATGCATACATGAAAGGCCATTATTTTGTGCATCATGGGTTTGTAACTTGTGTTTCTTGTTTGTGCAGACCGGTGGTTTGGATATACAGCTAGCTACCTGTGGGTGCGCTAAAATGCCTCTTTTGAGTACCTTAATTTAAGGTGACCACCAGGCTGGTTGAGTACCTTCTTCTTTTAATGTTAGATGGTAACATTTATAAGCAAACATCATATGTACATCCACCATAGATTTATTGACCCAAATAGAGTTTATCGAAAAGATTTATGATGTCGGTGGCAGATTATAACTTGTTATGATTATTTCTCTTGAGAATGCTAGCACTAGATGTAAATATTATGTCAATATTTGTAGAATTTTTTTCCCAGAAAAATAATCGTAGAAATTTCTGTTGAGAATTTAGAAAAATTATTTGTTATTTGGATGATGGCTTTGTTTAGAGATTGCTAAGATATAGAATTGTTTTGTTGCAGACACAATTTTTTTTATGGCCCTGACAAAAAGCTAAGAGCTCCAAATTTTGTTCCCATGGCATGCACATCATCTTCCAAAGAAGCATATTCTCTGGGTATAAAGGCGTCACCCAGTTGGTCCCCTCATTCTTCTTTAATAAAGAAGGTACCTTTCTGCAGTCTTTTTCTCGGAGATCATGGAGCTACGATTTCTTAAGCTGACATGTTGATCATTCATATTGGGACCAGTCCATCTTTGAATACTAGCCATGGTTTCAGCTTATGGTCAGGTCACCGTCCTCTTCCACCCAACTGCAGGTCGGCTGAAGGCATGATGACGCCATTGATGATCCTTCCAAACCAAGGTGTTCGATGAAGCATGGTCTCAGAGAAGATATCATGAAATATTTCACTGTCACCTGAACATGAAGGACCAACTTTTCCTGGTAGGGAGTTCTGCAGGAACAACAGACCGTGATCCATCCCATGTTTCAAGGCCATCTTCGCCTATAAATGTCTCTCCCCCTTTCCGAGTCCCACGCTAAGTCGGTCGAGGAAAGCAGAGACCGGTCACCGTTTCCCTTCGCTAATGGCTGACGTTGCTTCTCCGGAACCCGTTAAGGTCTGCGTCAAAGCCGCCGCCGGCGCCCCCGATGTCCCGGGCGACTGTATGATCCCGAAAACTCCCCTTTTTTTCGCGTTTCATCTGTTCTTGTTTGCTCTCCCGTCTCCTGTTAGGTTCGTCTGAATCGCGTTTAAATCGTACAAAAAGGTCCCTTTTGCCAAAGGGTTCTTCTTACCTTGGAGGAGAAGAACGTTCCCTACGAGTTGAAGCTGGTCGACCTCAGTGAGAAGCCGCAGTGGTAAGGAAGGATCCATTTTTAGATGATCCTTGAGTTCTTGATTAGGGTTTTGGCCTAAAGTTGAGGACTTTGAGTTGGAGATTCAGGTTCCTGGAGATTAATCCCGAGGGGAAAGTGCCGGTAATCGATTTTGGCGACGGCAAATGGGTTCCGGATTCTGATGTTATCACGGCGATCATTGAGGAGAAATACCCCAATCCTTCTCTGGTGACTCCGGCAGAATATGCCACTGTGTAAGGCTTCTGATTTGCATCTGTTCTTCCTTCATTTTCTATAGGATTCTTCGTTGTCTTTGTTTGAGCACGGTTTTCCGTGCCTACAATGTTCATGTCAGTTGCAGCTTAATCACAGATTAACTATCAACTGACATGGGCAATTGACTATCAATCTATACTTGACTTGGTCAAAAAGTGGAATTCATAAAGAATTTTTGATGTATGGCTCCAGGTGGAGTAAGAATTGTGATTTCTTTGGCATATTGTAGTCCAGATTGTTCTTAAGTTATACCTGAAAGAGCAATAACTGAGACAGCATGTAATATAGCATAAACATTTTGTACATGGATATTTTGAAAGATTATAAGTAGAAGATAATAAATCTTGAAAGCAATTGTTATATAGTACCTAAACATTGTGACAGTTGACAACCTAATCTTTGTTTACCTACTGTGGACTTGACTGATAAGTTTGTGAAAATGAATAACATTGAGTATGTTTCTTCACCAACCCATGGAAGAGAAAATACTTCAATGTGTAGCCAAAACAAAATTTTGCCGTTCACTGACTATGAAGTGCTATCATAAAGGAACATTTGTTTGCTCTTTTTAACATATACTATTGGCATTTCAGGGGATCAAAAATATTATCTTCTTTTGTCAAGTTCTTGAAGAGTAAAGATCCCACTGATGGTTCCGAGCAGGCCCTGCTGGATGAGTTTCATGCACTGGAAGAACATCTGAAGGATCATGTATGTCAAAGAGTCGCATGCTTTTTTAACTAACATTTGTCTTCCTTGATGACTAGAGCGGTGTATGAAACAACACAGCCACCGCTTACTCATGGTGGATTACCGGGGGGTTGCCTAGGTTATTGCTGTGAACAAGTGAACTGATAAAACAGCAATTTTCTTATGGTTACTGTTTGAAGAAAAAAAAAACATTCAAAATTTGCACTAGTAACTGAAAGATCAAGTTATATGTCATCTGAAGAATTGGTCTCTCAAGAGTTACATGAATATAAATCTTTGTTATATTTCACTAACCAGTAGACCAAAATCATTCATTGTTTGAACTATTCCTAATCCGTTGATTTTTGCAGGGCCCATTTGTCAATGGAGAAAAAATTTCTGCTGTTGATTTAAGTCTGGCACCAAAGTTGTTTCATCTTGAAGTCACTCTTGCTCATTTCAAAGGCTGGAGTGTCCCGGAGAATTTAACTTGTGTTCAGAATTACATGAAGGTGAGTTCCTCTATCTTGCCTAAATTTGATTTTAGCAATACCATGTCAGGGGCTTAGAAATTCCATGACCGACGAGCATCGTGTTATTTTGCATAAGCTGCAATCGACAATCAATTAAACTAGCTGATGAAACATCACGGATTTATCAATCTGACTGTTATACTTTTATAAATAGAGAATCATTCAATGACTTGCGATGTCTACACTGTTGTGATGATATTTGGATGCCCGACACAATTTTCTTCATGACATACTTATCCTTCATCCTCAAGCACAAGTCTCCATCTATACATGTACTGAAGCCTCTTACGTTGTGGATCATTTGCTTTCTGCAGGTACTATTCAGCAAAGATTCATTCATAAAGACCAGCGCTGCTAAGGAATACATGATTGCAGGATGGGAGCCCAAAGTTAATGCTTGAAGTTTGTTGACAAGAATACTGTGATCACATTTATATCTGGAATTGTACACTTGTGAGTCCTGTGTGGCGACAGTGTCCTCATCAACTGCTACATCTACCTGTTGTCTGTGTCGAAAGAAGCTGTTGTGGTACATTTTCGAAGCTGTTGAAGGTGAAAAGTATGCAGCTCATGCTGATCTTAGTCTTGTGTCCTAAACACCATGCATTTAGCTGTTTGTGTTTGCTACTCTTCCAAAACTATGGTTTGGTTATGATTCACCTCTTGAGGGAGTTTGTCCGATCGAGCATCTCAAGAATCATCCGAGTTTAATCTATGCCAAACTTTTTAGAAGCTAAACGGATGGCAGTTACCTTTACATATCTGTGTGCAACATGAGATCCAAGACAAAAAGGCTTTAAAGAATATGAGAAGTGAAACCATATGTATTATTCAACATGTCACATGTCGACGTCAACATTTTATTATTTGATAAAATGAACTGAAAATATTTTATTATTTGATTGGAAGAATAAAAAATAATAATTATATATTACCTTTTATATTTGGACCTTATTAATATTATGATTCTTGTACTTAAAAAATTTACATTATGATTTAAAGTGAAACAAATAATTTTATTTGGTCTAATGTTTTCAGTTGTAAAAACATAACATATAACACTGTCCTAAATCAACTCAAAGGTGATGAAAAAAAATTTTAATAATTTTTTTTTTATTTTTAGTATGTGAGATATTAAAATTATTTTTTTTATCAATAATATTATTAAAATTATTTTTTTGTCGTCACTTTTGTATCGATCTAACATTTGGTGTCACAACGTTAAGACAAATGAGGTTATTTATTTTATTTTCAGAACTATAGGGATCTTAATATAATTTTTTAAAGTATAGAGATGCTAATAGGGTATAAATACAAGAGATAATATATAATTAGTCTAAAAAAGAAAACTCCTCCGATTGAGTGAGGTTATTTTTTTCGTATTGACCTCAACCTTTAGTTAACTTAAAAGTTTTTATTCCTAACAATAATATTTTCTTTTTGGAAGAAGCATAAAGGCTATCATTCTCATCCTCTTAAGTAGACAGACTCCTTGTATTTTCAAGATTTGAGATTTGGATTAGGTCAAAACAATTAAATTTATCATATTAATATATCGTGTATCAATACATCGATATAGATCTTATACTTAAAACATCAAATCATACGTATTACTAGTCTTACATATAGTGTTCACCCATGCATAACTTTTCGAATTAAAGTGAAAAAGAGTTGAAACTAAGCTTTATTGATTTGAGGAGCCAAAAGGAGGATCTTAAGGGGTCAAGTGTAGTGATGCATGCGACACTCCCCCACTTAGCTCGCGCCTAAATTGTTTGACTTGTGATCGCTTAATGGGCCGAGTTAAGCCCAGCAGCTACTTTAACCCGGTCCGACTCGGACTGGCATTCAGAAACTCGCTCGTTATAAAGGCGACAAACCGCTCCTGTCTTCTCTGCCGTTTCTTGGGGTCTCAGGCGTCTCTCTTTGACTCCCCTTGTCCGATCCTTCCTCTCCTCCCTTATTCGCCTTCGTCGACAAAGGTTAGACCCCCCGGTCTCATAGATCTGTTGTTTACTCCGTCGATTGGTTTCCGATTTTTGATGATTCACGGGTTGATGGTCCGGATCCGACGATTTCGACCCCGATCGGTGCATTCCTGGCGGCCTAACTTGTGTTTCCTTGAAAGATGCTGTTTTCCTTCCAAAAGATGGATTTCTGGGTTTAATTTGAGCAGGATCGGGGAGTGATCGAATCTACAAATGGGATGTTCATGAGTTGTTTATTCCTTTTGAGTGGATCTACTTTATCCGTGTCGGTTTTTGATTCAGATGATTATGCAAAGATCTGTGTTTTTTAATGACTTTTTGATTCATCTGCCTTTTCCAATAAACCATAGTTAGATCTGACCTTTATATTGCATCCACTTATCGGGAAACATAACTTTATTACCTGGCTAGTATAAACATAGAACTGTAAGTCTTATTTCGATTCTTTTTTGTGTTGTTTTTGTGGTTGCTTATTTTGTTTTTTTGACCCACCCCCATTTTTTTTCCTGCTTACTCTGCTTCTTTATCCCCATTTTGTTTCTGTTAACTTGCCCGATTAGCAAATTAAGTGTTGAGAGAGCTATATTGCTTGCCAATATTTGATTGTAACACAATTGGAGAATCAAAATAAGAACAAGACGTTGTCAACAAAGTAAAGTGTCATTTGGTTATATTGATTTCCGATCTTATGTTCTCTAGTCTTCTACAAGGCTATCTTGATTCTTTTTAGGGGAGATGATATAAAACTGTCTGTGCTACGAGTGAGATTATTTGATCTTTCGACACAAGGGAGATGATGGATTTCATGTTATAGTGGCTCTTTTAAGAGAAATACACAATTTAATCCGTTCTTTCTGAAAGGTTATACCTTTCAGTTAAGAGCTAACAGATTCTACAACTTTACTGGTTCTTCTAACTCACGTTTGCGCCTTCCCAACTCCTGCTCGTCGATGTATGGCTAAGGCAATTTCTTTTTTTCTCCGGCAAGGACAATTTAAGTCATGTTTTAGTCATCAGCTCAGTTTTGGTAAGGGTGTATCAGTTGATAATGAGAGCAGTAGCACTGTGTACTCTTTAGCATCATTATTTATTCAAGAAGAAAGTATATCTGCAATACATTTTTTTGTGTTTAACTATTTTTCTTGTATTAATTATAATTGAAACAGTTCGCATGATAAATATGTTAGAGTTGAAAATTTTCCCAATTTTGGTTCATTTGCCCTATACGAAAGCATGTGTTAACATTTGAGCTGGAAACTATTTAACGGTTAAATTGTTGATATTCTTATGAACATTAATTTTCCAGGTTTATAAAAAATGGCTGATGGTGAGGATATTCAACCTCTTGTTTGTGACAACGGAACTGGAATGGTCAAGGTTGGTCAGTTTGCTATTAGCAGTTATTTTCTTTTTTTTGTTTAGTTTTGCTATTCGCTTCTAGACCTTAACTCCAGTTTATCTCATGCTTCTCTTGCCTTCATCAAACAGGCAGGATTTGCGGGTGACGATGCACCTAGGGCAGTGTTCCCTAGCATTGTTGGCAGACCTCGCCACACTGGTGTTATGGTTGGAATGGGCCAAAAAGATGCTTATGTTGGTGACGAGGCCCAGTCTAAACGAGGTATCCTCACATTGAAGTATCCAATCGAGCATGGAATTGTTAGCAACTGGGATGACATGGAAAAGATATGGCATCATACCTTCTACAATGAGCTCCGTGTAGCTCCTGAGGAGCACCCAATACTTCTAACTGAAGCTCCTCTTAATCCCAAAGCAAACAGAGAGAAAATGACTCAAATCATGTTTGAATCATTCAATGTGCCGGCCATGTATGTTGCAATTCAGGCAGTCCTTTCCCTCTATGCGAGTGGCCGTACCACCGGTTTGTACCAGTCTGACAGCATTAGTGGGAAAATATAAATATTTGTGTCTAATTCGGCTATTTATTGGCAGGTATTGTGCTTGACTCTGGTGATGGTGTCAGCCACACTGTTCCGATTTATGAAGGATATGCACTACCTCATGCCATTCTCCGTCTAGATCTTGCTGGCCGCGATCTCACAGATTCCCTCATGAAGATCCTCACTGAGAGAGGCTATTCATTCACTACGACCGCAGAACGGGAAATCGTAAGGGATATAAAGGAGAAGCTTGCTTACGTTGCCCTTGATTACGAGCAGGAGTTGGAGACTGCCAAGACTAGTTCAACTGTGGAGAAGAGCTACGAACTTCCAGATGGGCAGGTCATTACTATTGGCGCCGAGAGATTCAGGTGCCCGGAGGTCCTCTTCCAGCCATCACTAATCGGCATGGAAGCTGCTGGAATTCATGAGACCACATATAACTCCATAATGAAATGTGATGTCGATATCAGGAAAGATTTGTATGGGAACATCGTGCTCAGTGGTGGATCAACCATGTTCCCTGGTATCGCTGATCGTATGAGCAAGGAAATCACTGCTCTTGCCCCAAGCAGCATGAAGATTAAGGTTGTTGCCCCGCCCGAGCGAAAATACAGTGTTTGGATTGGAGGATCCATCCTTGCCTCCCTTAGCACTTTCCAGCAGGTATGTCCTAGTTCTGCTTTTGTGCCATTAATGTTTTGCACAGACGCATGACTCGTCATGCTTCAAATATGCAGATGTGGATTTCGAAGGGAGAGTACGAGGAGTCTGGCCCGGCGATCGTCCATCGGAAATGCTTCTGATCTTCCATATGTGGTGCTTTTTGTTGCCTGCTCTGCCAGCATGTTTCTAGGTTTGCCGAAGGTCGTCAGATTTGCTTGGAGTTTCAAGTTTGTTTTCAGTTTGGGCCGGTAAAAGCCCTCTTGTCAGGTGATGTTTTGAGCCAAGGCACCATGTGCCACCAAGTTTTCTTCCTTTCGGTCTTTCGGATCCCGTCTTCTGGTCTGTTGATTTTAGTTTGAGTATGACATGGATGCCAGTTCAGCATCAACAGCTTGGTCTGTGGACTTTATCCCCAGGATTATTTGGTAATGCCTTTAATGATCAACTGTTGTATGATTATTAAAGTCTAAGCTTTTCATAATGACTTTGTAGTTTTTGTTGCTTTCATCATTGGCTTTCTGCAACTTAGTAGTTGTTGTCGTGAATGTGCTTCCAACTCCATTTTCATGTCTGCTGGATCAACAACTATCCATCCAAATACTATTTGGAGGAACACATCAAGCAAAACTTCATACAACCTTCAGTTTGATGGATATATTATTATTAACTTGAGATTAAATATTTTAATCCTAAATTAAATAGATCAATCGTAATATAAAAATGAAGATGAGTGAGTCAGAGTAGATATCCTCTGTGTTCATAATTAGAGATGATGACTGAATGCTTCTTCAAAACAGAAAGAACAGAAAAACGAAGGCAACTCTTTGAAATGCATCAAATGTCAGGGAAAATAGGAAATATATATACGAATTACATCCATGAATCTGTCAAGACACTTCAAATGTATCTTAAACGCCTTGGCCAAAAGAGCTCACACGGATTCTTATTTGTTGTCGTATCATAGCTAGCAAGAACACCCTTCTTCTCTTCCCCATCTCAAAGGAGCTCTTTCATGGATTCTTCGAGCCATCAGTTCATGCAAAACAATCAAACATCAACAACCAATCTTAAGCAACGTAAATGGCAAAGGTTACAGAGATAGAGCTCTTCTATACCTCGCATACTTCCTTAGCGGGCCTTCGCAGTGATGCTGTGGTAGCACTTGAGGTTGCAGACGACTCTCCAGTAGTTGTTTGTGATGCAGTGGGCATGGCATTTCTCAGAGGAGGCCGGTTCACTCGCTGCCGGCGCAGGCGACATATCATTCGAAGTCACCACTGGTAAGATGGTGTCAGCGGCCGCCGGTGACACCGTCAGAAGCAGCAGACCCAGCAGGATCACAATGCAGCTCGCCTTTGCTGTGGCCATTGTCGTCTTCTCGGTCTCCGGACTGGATATGATGAGTTTTGGGTACGATGAGATTGTTGGAATGAGGAGGAAGAGAGACGAGGAGGTATATATATACAATTGCAGTGTCTATGTTTTGCATGGTTCGGAATGGCCTTCTATTTTAGGCGGATAGAAGCGGATGAGAAGACAGCCATGACAGAGAATTCTCGGACCATTTCTTGCCATTGGTTTGCTGGTTTCAGTGCGTTCTCTTCGCTTTATATCCATGGATCAGCTACATATAATATTCCATCAACCACACATCAAAAGAAAACATCTTTTCGAGTGTTTTTTGCATCTTTTAGAGCAGACAAATTATTAGAATTAACGAAGGAATTTTAGCATGAAAACGAGTCCTCTTGGAAAAAAAAAAATATATAGAAATTAGGATTTATTTTTATTTTTATAAATATATTATTTTATCTCTAAGTTTTTGGTAGAGTAGAACCAAAATATGAGAAATATTTTAGATATTTCTATATTTCTGGCTATTTATACAAGTGTTTTCTAAGTTTTTGAACTTTATATGTGAGTGTGTGTGTGTGTGTGTGTATATATATATATATATATATATATATATATATATATATATATATATATATATATAAAGTCATGCTTGAATAGGATAATTTGTTAATTTTTCTATCAACTTTCTAGTATAATTTTTATTTGTTATTGATCCTTGATGAAATATGGAGATCGTTTTTGCATCTTTTTATATTAGACAAATTATTAGAATTGACGAAAGAATTTTTGTATGAAAAGGAAAAAAAATCCTAAAAATTAGGATTTAGTTCTTTTATAAATATCTCATTTTATCTAAAAAGTTTTTTATGGAATAGAGTCAAATGTGAGATATATTTTATGTTATTTAGAGAGGCGATTTTTAAAGAGAGTGAGAGAAAAGTGTAATTTTTTCTGAATTTACATGAGAGAGTGTAAAAACAAATAGTAGGATTACTCGTTAATTGTTTTGCATTGATTTTTTAGTATTTTTATTTTATTTTATTTGTTGTTGAAGCATGCTATTTCTTGAATCGTAAGATCTATGAAAGCCAAACTCACTAAATTCCATATGAACCAATTTGTAGCCTCAGACGGAGTATATGATCATCTACTCCATTTATTATAGGAAAATACGAAAGAATAGAATATCTCACAATGAAACCCTATACATGTAGAATTTGCGTATTCTATACGAACAGCTGAAGCAGCTGACAGTGAGAACCAGTCTTGCGGACTCGATGCAGATCACCGAACTCTGGATCAGCCATTGTCAAGTCCATCTTCTTCGGATCACTCCGCTTCGAGTCCTCGGCCATGGGCTTATGTCGGCGCATGTGGCCGCCCAGAGCTTGCCCCATCGCGAACTCCACGCCACAGATGGAGCACCGGTGCACGCTGCGTCTCGACGTGGAACGATCGACCCTCGGGCGGTTGTGGCTGGTCCGGTGGCCGCCGAGAGCCTGGAACGTCGGGAACTGGCGGCTGCAAATCTTGCACTCGAACACGCCCTCCGCCGCTCTGACCTTCTTGCGAACCGTCGCAGGCTTATCCCCGCAGGAGAGCGACAGCAACAGCAACAGCTCCGCGCCTGCTGCTTGTTCTTCTTCTTCTGCTTCTCTTGAACGCTTCATCCAGCGGCTCGATGCCTTGAACTCTTTCCGAGATACGAATTGTTGCACTGGTTGAGAGGCTCCGCGCTGTTGATTTATACGTGCAGATTCTGCGATCGCTTACCGTGCGCGCATTCACGTCAAATGTCGCGACTGCTTACGCTTCCAACACGCTATGGATAAGCAAAGCGTGCGTTTGAGGAGGTCCGGGTTTCAGATCGCTGCAGCTGCGAAGGTTCCCTCTGTTTCATGCTTAATTTGCAGTGAACTGTACGTGAGACTATGGCTCGGCATGGGCGGAAGAAGGGTTACTTACAGTATACGCGGTTTACGGATTCGCTGCTTTGACTCGTCCTCCTTCGCTGCGAAGCAACACGAGCGACCGCGTCCGCCGACCGCTTTCAAGGGGGCATTAGCCACCTTTTGCAAGTGGGGTCCCGTGCGATGGGTCCCAGACCACGTCACTCCTGAATGGCCTCGCTGTCCTAATCGGGTATCCCTGGGTTCGTGAACATGTGGTTGTGATTCGTTGACCCGTTGGGGTCCACTGAAACAAGAACGCCTTTTGTGTACGCATTTGAAGCTTCCTGCGTCATGAGATTTGAACCACTTTGCGTGATAGACTCGATGCGACTAAAGAAACACCACCGTTTTCGTTCCTTGGAGATTGAATATGGAAGAATGAGAACGGTCAAAATCTTCCATTTGGAACACCACACCTCATATTCTAAGTCTAACCTTTGCAATCAGCTTGTGCTGCTCGACTATGAAGAGTAGGGAAGAGAGAGAGAGAGAGAGAGAGAGAGAGAGAGAGAGAGAGCCCAATTAGCACTAAATGAGCCCGTTAAAGGCCTCAGACATGAAGAAAGCATCCTTAATTGGTCTGTGGGCCGTGGGCCGTGGGCCGTGGGAGGATACTGTAGTTGGCCGCTGTGACCTCTAAACACGAAACAGGACGCGAAAGCGAGTCGTCGTGTCCGTCTCTCGGACACAACTTTTAAGCGTCACGTGCGTCATGCCACCTCTCCTGGCGACGTCTGTCTCTTTCTTTCTGTCTCCCGTCCGTCCTTTTCTGTTCAGCCCTTTTGCCAAATCCAGTTCTTGGTGGTGGGGTTGTGATCATGAGCGCTGTCAGAGGGTCAAAGAAGAGGAGGAAGGCGGCTGTGGCGCGGGTAAGTGGTGACTGGTGAGATGACTCCGCTTGATCTTGCTTATTCCATGGAAACATTGATCTCCGATTTGCAACTTCTTTTCTTGTAGGAGTCGGATTATTTTCGATGGGTCTCATGTTCTTTCGCTTGTTAGATTGGGATTCCTGAGTGATTTTGGTAATGGATATGTGCCCGAATCGAAATCTTGATGCTCTTTTAGGTACTGCTTATGCGTCATTATCATCGTGGCAAAACCTAGTAGTTGCTAACATCTATCTGGTATTTCAAAGTTGTCATCGATAATGTGCCAATTAGTGGTTACTGCCATATTGCTAGTATTTCAAAGAATTGTATTACATGTAATGGGGAAGAAGATATGGTTTCTGATTTCCATGTCCTGTTACTGGGCTCCGGTTCCCTTTCTAAAGGAACAAGCTTTTCGAGAAATCGATTGACTAATTTATCGTATTTATCGAGATTTTTATGTATTATAAATATCTATTTTAGCATCAAGTCTAGCTATCACATTTTACCATCTGAATCTTTTCCTTGAGCAAACTTTCATGACGTTTCAGATTAAGCTCGTCCATTACGCTTTGAGATTGCATTCGGATGATTCTCTTACTGATAAAATTTTCAAAATCTTGGCAGAAATCTCATTGCCAAGTTGGGGTTTTTCTCCTGTTGTTCGAGCTTCATGAGCTATCGGTCCTTATCGATAAAATCAGACACGCTTTTATACTAACCATCGTAGATTTTCTTAACTTGTGACATAACAATCATTACTTGAAATAAAAAAGCTAGTAGCATTATAGTCTCATGAGGTTCTATGAAGATGTCGTGATTGTTTATGGTGCCTCTTAGATGTGTTTTGTGGTACACAACTTATCTGCTATTTTGAGAATCCTTTGACAGGTTCTATGAAGGATGATGATGTTATTACCTTTCTTCTTTTTACCAAAGGATCTTTCACAAGATCCTATTAGAGGCTCAATTTACCTTCCAAATAGATTAATCATTTCTAAAATATGAAACTTTTGAGGTTTGCACCTCAGAGATGATACCAAAGACCTGTTCTTGATAATCTTTTTCGATAAAGTCTTTCCCACCCAATCGACACAACTGTTCTTTTTCTCTTTGGATATAATGCATGTATACATTGCTCATCCTGATGGAACACAAGTCAGAAACTACAGAAGGTAAGCCTTGCTAGATATGCAATTCTAAAGAGGCTATGCTAATAGATGTTAGATAGTTATGCAGATGTAAACAACCAAATTGTTGATGTTATCTTGCAAATGTCGGTTTCAACATAGAGGGGTTTTATGTTGCAGAGCTGCTCAAGTAGCAAAAAGGAACAATAGACTGATTCATGTTTCACATCGAACATAAGGTATTAAACTTAAGTACCGCTTTTATCATTTTTCTAAATTAGGCTACAAGACCGCTGATTATGATTACTTGACACTAGCGATTTGTGTCATTAGCTTTAAAAGTTATATGCTCCTCATGGAATCATATGTTTCGGTATTGGCTATTAGCCAACTTGTCATAATTTGTATATCAAGTGAAATATACAGATATTTGTCTTATGGACTTGACATAATATTTCTTGCATGCTTTATGTTTCAGTTACTTTGCTTCTGTGATGTTGTGATACTTCTGATGTAACAATAGACCTCATTTGACATTAATAAATAATCTATCTTATTAATACTAAAACAAAATGTAATCATGTTCTGTTTTTATTGTTTGGCACGGCCCAAGTTTGAATGTGGATTATCCTCTTAGCCTATCTTCTTCATTGGGACTTTCTTCGGCAGTCTTTGTGAAGAGTGGCCCAAAATTGTAGTTAAAATTAATTTACCAAGAACCGTTCCTTTTCAAAATGAAATATAAAGACTAAAAAGCAGAAGTTTTGTTCCTTATACTTTGTCTTGACATGAAACTTTGTGTCTATGACTATGCAACAGACAACCTGGTTGTGTGACAAACAAATCAAAGAATTATAATTTTGTATTGGATGAGAGCATCTTTTATAACTTGTTGAATTGATGAAATGATGATGGGTTTAGTAGCTCAGCAACAATAGACTTTCCTAGGTGAAAAAACAAGTGAACCTAACTTTCTTTAGCAAGTTTTGTATGAGTTTCATTGGAAGCAAACCATATCTGCTTCCTAATGAAAGGGTCTTGTATGGACGCATTAATTTGGACTTATGTGGAGTAGTAAAATGATAGTGCCTTCTTTATCATTAAGGTACTCATAGATTTTGTACATCAGCATTCTACCTATTGACTAACATGGCTTCTATCTTGTTTTTGGCTATACCATGTAACTCTCATGATATTGCTTGTTCTCAGCATTATGCATTGACTTGCATGAAGCGATGAATTTATAGTGAGCAGTTTTAGTTTGCTATTATATGAAGACCATGTGATAATCTCCGACCATTTTTCAGACACACAATGGTAATGCTTCCAGGACAATTATCATTATCCCAAGAACTTAGAAAGTTTGAGTCGGTTTTTAAGATGTCAAGGAAGACCTTCAACTACATATGCTCATTGGTCAGGAATGACTTGATAGCAAAAGCATCAAAATTTGCTTTCGCAGATGGCAAAATCCTTTCTGTAGAAAATCAAGTAGCTGTTGCTCTGAGAAGATTAGGCTCTGGCGAGTCACTATTGAATATTGGAGTATCATTTGGGATGAACCACTCAACTGTTTTCCAGGTGACTTGGCAGTTTGTAGAGGCGATGGAGCACAGAGGTATCCAACATCTTAGATATAATCACTGGCTGGCCCGGAAGCATGACTGGGTTCCCGGTTTTATGCAGCTCAGGCTTCTTCAGGATGTGTGAGAAAGGTATGAGGCTAAATGGAGAGAAGGTGGAGCTTCCTGAAGGTTCAGAAGTGAGGGAGTAGATAATTGGAGACTGCAGCTACTCCCTTCTTCAATGGCGTCTCACTCCCTACTGAGGGAAGGATCTTTCATACGACCGAACTGAGTTCAACAAAAGACTTTCTGCAACCAGGGTGGTGGTGGAGAGAGCATTGGCAAGGTTGAACGTGTGGAAGATCATTCAAGGGGGAGATGTGGAGACCTGATAAGCATAGGCCGCCGAGCATAATTCTTGTTTCCTGCTTGCTGCACAACATAGTGATAGACTTGGAAGATGAAGTGAGAGGAGATGAGATGCCTTTGTCCCATGAACATGATGCGAGTCACAAGCAACAATTCTGTGACAGCAGACAATTATGGAAATGAGCGACAAGATAAGTTGTGCCAATATCTGTCTGGTCGATTGCCACCTTGAGATGAGCATTGAACTGCTTTCTCTCTTTTTCCTGTATGCACAACAATTGGGTATTGATAGATGTCGCACCAGGTTAATTTTTCGATCATTGGATTTGATTGCCTCTTTCAACTGATACTTCTGGAATGAGCTAGAGTTCTGGTGTTGATTTGGCAGAAGGGAATGCCGATAATAAGATCAATGGCAATCAGCAGTGTACAGATCACAGTCCAATATTTTTCCTTTCTTGAAGAGACAGTCCAATCAGTTTTTCCACACAATTGCTCAGCGAATTCGGTTTCACTGCTGCTGTTGGTTTGTTGACTTCAACCTTATTGCTTTTCCATGTGAAGACATTGCTTGAGTGGTAGGATGTGAAGACATTGCTTGAGTTCCATTTCCAAGAAGACAGTCTTCCACACAAACACATGGAACTTTTGATCTGAGTGCTTTGCGATCTCCAATCTTTAGATGGCATCAACAGCCTTGCTGTCAAACAATGCAACACAACTTTGACTTGTCCAAATTCGGAGCACTATCTATCAACACATGTATACGTGAAGGTATGCAAATCCGATTCCTTCTTCTTCGTCTTCAGAAACCCAACCAGTCTGTTCCTTGTAGTCAACTTTTC